CATATCGTTTTTAACTCATGAAAGAGAGAAGAAAAAAAAAAAAAGAAAGTAGGTAGGTAGGTTCTTAGGGTAAAATTAGAGAAATTCATAGTTCCTATCAGTGATGCCATATTGAATATTTATATTTTTATGATTATAATAGTGTCCCAGGAAACCTGAATAAGTGACGGTGCTTTGCATTCACCCTGTGTTTTTAATATACTTTAGGTTGATGACCACAGGGCTTTAGCCTGCATTATTTGTCACCCACACACCATGTGTCCCCATCCCCTGTTGTTAAATAGCAAAGATATCCAGCCAGTATTACATTAAACCATTTTATACTTAAATTTTGTCAGATATAAGCGTTTACCAACCTTTGAATTTGGAGCCAGTAGTTTCAAGTATTTTAGTACTTTAGATGTTTTCCTTGGAGACGCCATAAAATCAGCAGTTAATGCGCCTTTTTGTACCTTTGCAGGGATGATATGGAAGTAAAAATTTCATGAAGTCTTAGGGATCTTGTTTTTGTGAGTGAGAACCATGGCAGTGATTTAGTTCTTTATCTTCTTGTAAATTTAACAGTTGAGAAGCACTGTGGAGAGGAGTGTGACTTCTTACTTACTGGCTTTGGGTTAGTCCATTTGGGGAGATTCAGTGTACTAAATTAAATCTCTGCTTCGGGAAATAGCATACTATCAATTCTGATATAAGTAAGATATAAATACCCCAGAAGTAGTTTATAGCTGGGGATGGAAATTTGTTCTTAGAATTTAGGGCTTAGTTTTGAACTGTTGAAGATGATGAAGACATTTTCTTTCCTGGAGTTTGTCAAGAATCTGAACATCACTCCATCATCATTGCTCCGGCCCCGCTGGGGTGTTTCACTGGGGTTGGAGAAGTGACTCCCCTGGTTGGCTCTGTGCCCTTGCTCATTAGATTCTCTGTGTTACTGGGAGAGACAGAAAAATGTTCTGTTCCTTAATGATTTGTAACCAAAGTGACTTTGGTTATTAGTTGTGAGAGGTGACTGGTGCTCTCGTTGTGAGAGGTGCTCTATAGTGTTTTCTCTTTTTTTGATAATTCTCATAGAACTTTATTTTATGTAAGACATAGTTAATATCTGATCTGTTGTTAGTTCCATGTTCTTGAAACAATGTTAAGGACAGTTTAGATTGCCGCAGTGATTTATTTTTGTAATAGAGTGGGAAGTAGGGGTTAAAAATATCAAAGGAGCTCAAACTCTGATGGAAGTTGATATCTGAAATTGCTTTGTTTCATCCTTACTTTTAAAATTACCCCCAAAGCATCTGGCTTCACATTTGTAAATGCCCTTGTAAGGATTTTGGTTAGCTGTCATTCAGGAGAAGAGATCACTTAGACCTCATTAACAGACAATATTCCCTTTGAAAATGACATGGTATCTACTGTAATCCTAGAGTGTTTTAATAGTCTTTATGCTCAGCAATGAAACATTTCAGAAGTGACTGACAGCCAACTGATGTAATTCATGGTGATCTTTTGTGTTGACAGATCTTTAAAAAGTCATGGGAAATTACTACTGTACCCAGTGAAGCCGCCTCCTTTTTTTTTTAACTGCCAATATCCTGCAAAACAGGACAATTTTCTCTTTGACTGCCACTGTTTTTTATTTCGATAACATGACACGATTTCTCCGTATTATTAGGATTTTTATGATAGATAGAATGTGTTCCCAATAAGTAATGCTAATTTTAAAATAGAAATTCTTCAGTTTTCCAAATTAACTCTCTTACTTTTCTGACTTCTGCATCAAGACAACCTTGCCAGTAGCCCCTTTCCCACTCAGGAGGAAGAGTGATTTAATTTAGACAATCAAACCTTTTTAAATGATTTTAGTCTTCCTCTGATGGAGAAACACATTGAAAGGAAAGGATGACAAATTGCTTATTTTGGTGTATGTTTTTTTCTAGAGCACTCTAAAGCTAAAAGGCTGATATTTTACTTATTTTTGTAGGAGATAGTATCTATGTCCAAAACTCAGTCTCCAAATGCAAGCTGTAGAATGAGCGGAAAGGGCCTTGTGATGAATGTGAACTTGTCTGATGAGTTGTTGGGAATAATACAGAGATCTAGTCCCAGTGTTGCCCTAACTTTTCATCTTTGTTGGACCTGCACCTCTGGGTCTTTGCTCCGTCATCATGTTGAAAAGAGCTGTTTTTCTCAGATCTTCTGGCTGGTCCTTAGGGGAGTAGAAGGTATCTTTTCCCTTGTCCATTCTATTACCAAAGCATTGTCATTATGAGTTGACATATAATTTTGAGAAAGAACTGTGTGCTAAGTGCTATTGAGGAAGAAATAATCGACTTTCTGATTACAGTCTTATTAATATTTTTGTTTTATATTCCACAGAAATACCATTTGACTGTAAAAATGTGTTATACCTCCCTTCATCATTTTAGTTCGTTTCCCCTTGCGTCATCTACCCACTCTTACCCCGACTCACTCTCTCACTAGACTAAAAGAAGGACCTGAGTTTATCCATCTTCTGGTAGACAATACTCCCCTTACCTTCCAGAGCCCTACCACCAGAAAATAGTCTTATAAAAATGAAACATTAAAGAAGTAGAAGAGAGAGGGAGAGAGAGAAACAAAGGTTCCATTCCATTTTCTCTTTGTGCTTCTTTTAGACTCTGGGGAATGTGAAGAGTTTCCATAGTTGAAATAAGTAGTAGGTACTGCTCCTTTGTATTTTGTTTTTCATGTAGAGTAGAATCAAAGCATGAAGGTTCCAGTTTATGGGAGACCCAGGATCTGCTCCAGCCTACTGTGCCTACTGTGCAGCGTGCCAGGGCTGCCTCTTACACTAGGCCAAAAGGCTCTCTTGGGAGTCATTTACATGAGTTCATAACTGAAGGTAGATACTTGGTTTGAGTCCTAGTTCCATTTAGGTGTGTGATCTAAATAAAATAATTTTATTTTTGTTTTTGTTTTAGAAAAATGGAAGTAATAATTATTCCCACTTAATATTTTTCTTCAGGTTGTTGGGAAGACAATGTAAGAAAATGAGTTGTGAAGTACTTTACAAACTTCAGTTCTATATAGATAATAATAGTTATTCTTCCTCATTCACTTCTCAAAGTAATTTATAAATGACTTTGTTCTTATAAGTACTGCCTTCTTTAAGGATCTTTTCTGTAAGAAAAGAGAAATAGTATTAACTGAAGATATTTAATTTTTACAATAACTCTGTGAGTTAGAAGTTATTATTGCCATTTTACAGATAAAGCCATAAGCTTAGAGAAGTTAAGAAATGTTTTCAAGATCAACACTTTGTGAATAGTTAATTCCCTGGTTTCTCTGACTTCAGTGCCCATGTGTTTTCTTCCATAGACTAATGTAGTTTAATTTACTGCAGTCCATTCCAACACCTCTCTGTTCTTTAGGCCTAATTTTGAAACTTTTTCTTTCCATTTCAATTATTTTTGTTCTTTTAGTGGGAGTTTATTTTATTTATTTGGCAGTTATTTAAGGCTAGGCATTATGCTAAACACTATTAGTGTCCCCCCCCCCCCCCCAGTCTAGTCCTTTTTAAACAGAAGAAAACATGTCTAAAATAGAGTGGCAAGAACTTCTATAAGGTGTGTCCAGAAAGTATCCAGCCACACACTATGAAAAATAGAGACATTTATTGAAGAAGATACAGGATACAAGAAATACTGTACATAGGACAGTGATGCCTTAGTCCCTTTCAAAGTAGGCACCTTGGGACCTCACACAGTTCTCTCAGCATCTCTTCCACTGTTCAAAACACTCTGCAAAATCCTTTGTTGGAATCGCCACCAGCTGCTCTGATGTATTTTCCTGAATCTCATTGACATTCTGAATTTTCTCACTTTCAAAGGTGATTATAGTTTTGGGAAAAGCCAATGGTAGCAGAGTGCCAAATCTGGGCTGTAGGAGGGGCTGAGTCACCTGCATGATTTGATGTTTCACCAAAAAACTCTGCATGAAATGTGAGGCATGAGCAGGCACGTTGGTTGTGATGAAACTGCCAATCACCAAGTTGCCTATAGCTGCAGCAGTTTTCATTATATTGCCTCTCTCAACTGACAAAGGACATTATAGTAGTATTCCTTATTAATTATTTGGTGTGGAGGGGTGTACTTGTGATGGACAACACCTTCCCAATCAAAAAACACAGTTAATGGTTAATGGTCTTGATCTTGCACCTTCTTCAGGTGTGGAGAACCAGACAATTTGCATTGGGATGACTGGGACTTCATTTCTGGATCATAGACCCATGAGCCATAGACCCATGATTCATCTCCAGTTATGGCCTTTTTGAGGAAATCTGTTCATTGGTAGGGGTTTGAATCAAGTTATTAACAACTGCAGTTCCTTACAGCCTGGATATGTTCAACATTCTCAGATGTTCTGCTTATTGCAGGCTTTCCAGAATGTGGATCACTTTCAACAGATTCTCAACCATCTTAGAAGTGTTTGTGCCACACTTTATTTGTGTAGCACTCATTGCATTGTCCCTGAAACCCTTCTGAATCATCCAAATAGTTTCTATAGAGGAATGTTCAAGCTTAACACAAAATTTGATGCAGATTCTTTGCTCAATTCACTCAGTCATTTTGAATGCAATGGCCACGTAGTACATGTGCTACGGTGTCTACTGCCCCCACAACAAGAACAGTGAAGTCATCATTGTTCATGCATGTGCATTCCAGCCCACTCTCCTTGGTTGCCAGGTTACACTGATGTTGTGCAAACTGTTCTTGTCATATTAACAATGGCTGGACTTTTCCCAGAGAGACCTTGTATATAGTAGGGGAAATACAGGATGCTTTGGGTAGTCAGAGAGGGCTTCATAAATGAAGTAATAATACCCATGCTTTAAAATACCCTTTGTAGAATACAGATGCCTTCTGCCATCATACCTTTTGTTTTTCTCTCACCAGAAGATTCGTATCAAGCCATTTGTCCTGGGGCGAAGAGTCAAATGATTCTTACATGTGCTTGTTATTTTCCAGCTTGTCCAGATTATTATTAATACAACACACTTGGAGAAATCCTGTAAATACTTGGAAGAATTCATCACCAATATCACTAATGTGCTTCCAGAGACAGTCCATACCACTAAGCTCTATGGCACCACGACTTTTAAGGTAAGAAGGCCCTACAGTACTATAGAACTGCTTTGGATAATGCATAGTCTGGGGTACTCAGCCTAACATGGTTTGTTTCATCCAGGTTGCATAACAGTGTGATTGATAACTTGCTCTTCTGAGTAGATGCTTATGAATCCCTTAGAAAAACAAATACTAATGATAATTTTGGGGTATTTATACTTAAAAAAGTCAATCTTTTGTGTCTACTAAATCTTTTTTTATAGAATTGTGTTCTTAGTTTTCTTTAAAAAAAAAAAAAGATTTATTTATTTATTTATTTTTAGAGAGGGGAAGGGAAGGAGAAAGAGAGAGCGAGAGAAACATTAGTGTGTGGTTGCCTCTCACATGGCCTGCAACTCAGGCATGTGCCCTGACTGGGAATTGAACCTGCGATGCTTTGGTTCACAGCCCGAGCTCAATCCACTGAGCTATGCCAGACAGGGCTTTACTAAATCTTCTTTATATTTTCTACATGAAAATGGCTATTTTCTCAGTTGCCCTCATCACAATTGAGATGTTCTTAAGTATGATCTAGAGAATAGTTGAAATCAATATTAATTAAAAATTAATATGTCCTATGTCCATTTTTTAAATTTACTTTTAAGCAAGAAATTTCTGTCCCTTGCTATTGAAGTTAGTAATTTTATAATTATTTCGCAAGGCCACAGCATTGGTTTTGACTCAGAGCTAATCAAATGGGAAAAATGACACCCTTGTGGGGTAAAAGAAAGATTGATGGTAGATGCATTTCTGAAGAATAAATACCTTAATTTCAAAGAGCCTTAAGGAACTCCTTTGTATTGCCATGTGAGCTCTAAATAGATATTAAGCAGAAAAAGTAACAAGGCAACATCTTAAATACTAAAATGGTTGATTCTGACATAAAAGCCAACATGTATGCTTTGGGTTTTTGGTACTGTGTTATTTGGTCATTTTAGTTTTGAAACAAATCTATGTCACTCTTTTGACATCCAGAAGTTGATGTTTATTAGATATAAAGTTGTTGAGTTAAAATCATGATTTTATGTCCACTGGTATCTACCTTTTCCTATCCTTTTACCCTTTTTCTTTATTTACTGTTACTTTGCTTTGAGAGAAGATTTAAGAGAAGAAATCAAATTTGATTCATATTACTTATTACATTTTATGAGAGATAAAAATTATTAGAATGTTCTACTCTTTTTCTGGGACAAAAGAAAAAATGGGAAAGATCCTGAATAGCCAAAGCAATCTTGAGATACAGGAACAAAGCTGGAGGTATCATGCTTCCTGGTTTCAAATTATATTACAAAGCTACACTAACCAAAACAGTATGGTATTGCATACAAATAGACACAAAAATCAATGGAACAGAATGGAAAGCTGAGAAATAAACCCATGCATATAAGATCAATTATTGTACAACAAAGCAGCCAAGACTGTGCAGTGGGGAAAGATAGTTTCTTCAATAAATGGTGTTGGCAAAATGAGACAGTCACATGCCAAAGACTGAAACTGTACTCCTATCTTATATCACAGACAAACATCAACTCAAAATGGATTAGAGACTTGAATGTAAGACAGAAACCATGAAACTCTGAGAAGAAACCCCAGGTTGTAAGCTCCTTGACATTGGCTTTAGCAGTTATTTTTGCATTTGACACCAGAAGCAAAAGCAAAGCCACAAAAGCAAAAATAAAGTAGTGGGACTTCATTAAGCTAAAAAGTTTCTGCACAGTAAAGGAAACCAACAACAATATGAAAAAGCAACTGATGGAATGGGAGAGAATATTTACAAATGATATATGTATCTAATAAAGGGTTAATATTGAAAGTATTTAAAGAACTCCTACAACTCAATAGCAAAAAAATCAAACAACCCAATTAAAAAATAGGCAGAGTTATTAAATAGACATTTTTGTAAAGAAGAAATAAGAAATGAATTTAGGAAAGTAGCAGGTTACTAAGTTAATATCCAGAAATTTATTGCACTGTTATATCCAATAACAAATTAACAGAAAGGGAAATTAGGAAAATAATCCCATTCACAATTGCTACAAAAAGGATAAAATCCCTAGGAATTAACCTAACCAAGGATGTAAAAGACCTGTATTCAGAAAACTATAAGACTCTGAAGAAAGAAGTTAAAGAAGATACAAATAAATGGAAGCACATACTGTGTTCATGGATAGGAAGAATTAACATCATTAAGATGTCCATACTACCCAAAGCAAGCTATAGATTCAAAACAATTCCTAACAAGTTTCCAATGATGTAGTTCACAGAACTAGAACAAATATTTCAAAAATTTATATAGAACCACAAATGACCCCACATAGCAACTTCATTTCTTTTTGGCCCTGAGAAGAAGAACTAAGTTGGAGGAATCACCCTACCTAATATCAAACTGTACTATAGGGCCATAGTAATGAAAACAGCATGGAACTGGCATAAAAACAGATGAACAGGTTCATGGAATGGAGTAGAGAGCCCAGAAATAAACCCACACCTTTATAGTCAACTAATATTCAACAGAGGAAGGAAGCACATACAATGGGCTAACGATAGTTTATTCAATAAATGGAGTTGGGAAAATTGGACAGATATGTGCTGAAAAATGAAACTAGACCACTTTCTTACGCCACAAACAAGAATAAATTCAAAATGGATAAAAGACTTAAATGGTAGATCCAAAACCATAAAAATCCTGGAAGAAAACATAGGCAGCAAAATCTTGGACATTGCTTGTAGCAATTTTTTTTAATCAGAAATATCCCCTCCCCAGGCAAGGTAAACAAAAGAAAATAAATAAACAAATGGGACTACATCAAACTAAAAAGTTTTTGTACAGCAAAAGAAATCATCAACAAAGTAAAAAGACAACTCACAGAATGGGAGAACATATTCACCAATATCTGGTAAGTGATTAATATTAAAAATTTATAAAGAACTTATAAAACTCAACTCCAAACAAACAACCCAATTAAAAAATGGACAAAGGACCTGAGTAGACACTTCTCCAAAGAGGACATAACAGAGGAGCAGTAGACATAGGAAAAGATGTTCAATGTTACTAATCACCAGAAAAATGCAAATTAAAACCACAATGAGATATCACCTTACACCTGTCAGAATGGCTATTGTTTATAAATCAACAAATAACAGTGCTGGCGAAGGTATGGAGTAAAAGGAACCCTACTGCATTGTTGGTGGGAATGCAGACTAGTGCAGCCACTGTGGAAAGGAGTATGGAGATACCTCAACAAATTAAAAATGGATCTGCCTTTTGACCCAGCGATCCTACTTCTGGGGATATATCCAAAGGAACCCAAAACACTAATTCGAAAGAATGTAAGCACCCCTATGTTCTTCGCAGCATTATTTGCAATCACCAAGATATGGGAGCAGGCCAGGTGTCTGTCAGTAGATGAGTGGATAAAAAGACTATGGAACATTTATACAATGGAATAGTACTCAGCCATAAAAAAAAGAAAATTTTACCCTTTGTGACAGCATGGATGGACCTGGAGAACATTATGCTAAGTGAAATAAGCCAGTCAGAGAAAGACAAATACCATGTGATTTCACTCATATGGAATCTAATGAGAAAACTGAACTAAAAGGCAAAACAGAGACAGACTCATAGATAGAGAACAGATGACAGTTTGGGGGGTGGTAGTTAGAGGTAGAGGGATTGAGCAAAAAGGAAAAAGGACTCATGGACATGGACAGTAGTGTGGTGATTGTTTGTCGGAGGATGTATAAGGGGACTAAATAGTAATGGAAAAAGTACAATAAAGATTAAATAAAACAATGGCCAGCAGGTAAATGAAAAACATGTTCAACATCACTAATCATCAAGGAAATGAAAATGAGAATCACAATGAGATATTACCTGACACCTGTTAGAATGTCCAGCATCAAAAAGAAAGAGATGACAAATGCTAACAAGCATGTGTAGAAAACTCTTGCACATTGTTCCTGGGAATGTTAACTGGCATAGTTGATATGGAAACTTCTCATGCAATTAAAAATACAATTATCATTTGATTCACATTCTCACTTCTGGCTGTATATTCAAAGGAATCAAAAGCATTATCCTGGAGAGGTAGCAATACTTCCATGTTCATTGCAGTATTATTTACAATAGCCAAGATATGGAAACAACCTAAGTGTCTATGAACAGGTGATCAGATAAAAAAAAGTGGTGTATGTATACAGTGGAATATTATTTAGCCATGAAAAAGGAGGAAACCATGCCATTGTGACAGCATAGATGAACCTTAAGGGCATTATGCTAAGTAAAATAAGCCAGACAGAGAATGTCAAATATTACATGGTTTCACTTACATGTGGAATCCTTTTTAAAAAGTCAAACTCATAGAAAAGTATAGAAAAGTTGTTGCCTGGTGCTGGGAGGTGAGAGAAATACAAGTTGGTGTAAGGTAGAAACTTTTAGCTAGAAGGTGAGTAAGGTCTAATAGTTGATAATACTGTATCATATAAACTGAAATTTAAGAGAGTGGGAAATAGATGTTCTCACTAAAAAGAAACTATATGAGGTGATGAATGTATTACATAACTAGATGGGGGAATTCTTTCACAATATATACATATATCGACTCACCACAATGTACATTTTAAAGAACTTAAATTTTATTTTCAGTAGTACCTCAGTACAGCTAAAAAAATTAAGCAAAAAAATGACATGGTGAACTACAAAATATTCTTTAGGTCAGCTGCTGGGTGAGTTATACATTCAAGAGTGACCATGAATCATTTCAAATTACCTATAGAACTACTTAAAACAAAGTTTGTTATTCATCATGTGTATATCATTACTTTCAAAAATTTCAGTAGTTTTATTTTATTAATATTGATATAAGTAACATTGACTTATTTAATAAAAAGGCTCCAACAATGACTATGAAAATATGACAAGAGCTTTAAGAACTTTAGGGTGACCTTAGGCATTTTAATCAGAATTATAATTACTCTTAAATATTAACATTATTATG